TTTAAGCAAGTTCTACTGTAGAAAGCACTTAGCTTGCTCATCCATGTATTGACTGAGATGTAGCTTGAGAGTGGGAAATGGTTCTTTCTCTGTGACAAATTCCAGTCAGTCAATGTTGACTGATGTGGAGAGGTCCAACGGAAATCCACTCGTTTGTGGAGTGCCTCAAGGCTTGACACTCGCCTCTCCTATATAGGACAGAGTTCCCCAACGTTTCTGGGTTAGCAGCCTGGAGGAAGAGAGGAGGGAAATGTGTGCGCATGATGTGCACACGTCTGCACAAACCATCCAATTCCACAGGCCTTTTCACAATCTCTGAAGACTTAGCTCTGGGATAGGTTGGTGATGTGCCCATCTAGTGCATACTGTATAGTTTGGCAAGTTTATGTTGCTTCTTCCTCATATGGCTAGGTATATTATGGTTAGTTTTTACCTTAAGGTATTGCATTTTAATTTATCCATTATCTAGAATCAGTGCTAGGTTGGGTGATCTTATAAAACAAATAAATGCATTTTGCTATATATCAAGGCCAGATGAACAATTAAATTCCTCGTATTTGCAAAAGAAGGGGCACCAGAAACATTTGCTGCTGAAAAACTAAAGCTCATTTTTTAATTAAAATAAATAAAACGTTCATGGTATATTTTACATATAAAGTATTGCTATTTTAACACCTCAACTACCATATTTGGAAAGAACTGATCATGAACATTAGGGCCAAGTGATTATAATTGTTCTTCCACACTGTTACTGTTGTGCTGGACCACAGCAATTTGAATACTACAAATAAGTAATATTTTGTGTAATATTTCTGAGTTATATAATCCACGTGAAAAGAAAAAATCTTGAAAGGGAAATCTGGGTTGCCAGGTTTTGAACACACTTAGTCTAGGAATACAGTGAAGATCTTCTTTCTCCTTTCTCCCAACTATCTTAGTTTTTGCAAACAGCAGAATTTGATCTCAGCAGGGAATTAAAAAAAGGTGACAGCAAAAGCAGAGGAACGCAGTGGAAAAGCTTAGCGATTGTACTCTCCCCTTTAAAAAATTACAAATGTAAATATTTGACATAGAAACTCCCAAGTCAACACCATCCAATGGACAGTGGAATGATGCCTCCAAGGTTGGCCTTATTCCTATCCAGGACTTGTATGATTTCTTAAAACTACTAAGATCACTGTTGTTTTATTTAAAAATAAAAAAACAGAATTTTAAAACCTTTGACTCTGTGACAGTGCAAACAGCATTCCCTTTTGTTAATCAACTTCTGTAGGAGCTCTGTGATTTCTTAAAACTACTAAGATTTAAAAATAAAAAGCAAACAATTTTTAAAACCTTTGATGATGCTGTGACAGTGCAAACAGCATTCAATTTTATTGCTCAATTTCTGCATGGGTACATACTCAAAAAATTTTATACAGATGTATTGTTAAAGCTCATGTAACAGCTTGGTGAAAATACAATATCAATGCTAACCACATTCTGCAATAAATACAATAGAAATGGAACTGAAAAATGTGTCAGTTTGTGGCAGAAGGAAGTATATCAAATATAGGTTTATTTTAGTTGGACAAAACTTTTAGGATTTGGCAGAGTCAGAAATCTTCTAAATAAACAGTATGTCTTAAGTACAAATTGAACCTGTTAACTATATAGTGCAGTTCAAAGTTTGTAGCAATGATGTCATGCTACACTACAAATGTGATACAAAAGCACAAGTTCCTTCCATTAATGCAGCCAGTTTAACTGCACCACAGGTTTAACAGATATAGTGTTGCAGAATAAAAACAAAATAAAACAAAACAAAAATCTGTGTGCTCTGGACTCTAGTACAAACACAAACGTTTGGTAAAAATAAAAATCAGTTTAGAGAAACTGAACCTATGTGCAAAAAATAGAATACATACTGTACAAAGCACCATTACAAAACTTTACACCTAGAAATTAAACTTGAAAACGTGTCTGAGTACTTAATCATTGAATCCTAGCAAATTGTCACTATTCATATTAGCACATTCATTCCTGAAAAGAAAGCATGGAAATGTGAGGTGGCATCTCTCTTTTAATTATTCAATCCATGTTCACAATTGATGAAGAAATCCTATGGGAAAAGGGGTGCACTGGAAATAAATATTCACATTTCAACCTAAGGTAAAAATCCAAAGGTCCAGCATCATATTTCGCACTGGGAAAAGAGGCATGGCTATACATCTGCAACGGATGGGTTGGGAAAAGCTTCTGGTAAGTTGTGTGCTTTAAAGCTTTTAATGGTTTTATGCAGATAAAAAGGCACTCAGAAGACCTGAGAAATCCATTTGCATTCGTCTGCTCAGTGTTGGTCAAAGCAAGATTGCAGGTATAGTTTAATTTTGCCTAATACATATTAGACTAGCGCTGTAATAGAAGGTTCTCTGAACACAATTTAAAGTAGAGCAACAGTGCAGTCACTGTTCAAAAACATAAGTTTTGGAATGAGACCAGGTTGGATTTGCCTTCCCCAAACTTAACACCCCACTGTCTTCACTGTCAACAAATTCTTTTAGCTCTCAATTTCCGTTCTAAGATTGCTAGGTTTCATCCTGTTCAAAATGGAGGCATCTTAAATAAGAAATCTAATGGTAAGTCTACAGAAAAGGAAGAACAGGCCGATTTTCCTTATGGAGCAAAGAAACAAGGTAGGTTTTAGATACAATCTGGTTTATCCATGCTCCCGAGGAGCCCGTGTACATACAAAACAAAGGACCTGAATGGTCAATTATAAAAGGCAGGAATCCACCTTCACAGGTGCTCAGCACTCAGCGCTCGGTGGTATATGAAAACCCAGGCTCCGTAAATTCTTCATTCAACATCTAGAAAATAAATCAATACTATTCCTGAAACCTGAAAGATCAGCTGAAAAAGGCATAGATTATCCCAGAGATGATCTGAAGGAAAAGACAACTTCAGACAGGCACAAAAGAAGATATCCTAACTGGGAAATATGGGCTTGTTCCTTATCAGCTTCAAATTTATTTTATCTGGAGCGGATAAACTGATGCTCGACAGATATTTGGTAGCAAACCTTTGTAACCTATCACTGATTGTGCTGACTGGAATTGTTAGAACGTGAAAACCAAAACATCTGAAGAGCAACCAACTCCCTATCCTGGAACTAAGCTGCCAGGCATGCCTCAGTGGCGGGCTTTGATTAACTGTAATGCTGTAGAGCCCATAAACAGTAATCTAATCTACCAGAAACTTCATTGGTTCTGCTCAACTATGAATCATAAATAGACCATCTATCTTCACCGACTACTATACTACAACTGTCTCAATTTGTGCAATCGCTTCTTCTTCCAATATTTCTGCCTTTTGCATTAACAAAGGTACCATGAAATTCTTTCAAAACAAACAGTCAAATGAAAACCACTTTTATCCTCAAAATGCAATTATGTGCCAGATGGAATTGGCAACTAACACATAAAAACCTGCTGGACTCCAGGATCAGCATTTGGACCAAGTCAGAAAAGAAACACTACACAGTGAACACGCTTTTGCCCTTCTTGCCTTTTCTTCACATTCTTTTAAAACGTTTTCTTAAAGATCGGCCAGCAAAGTACGCAGTTTCCAAAGTGTAATTGGCACTCTTGATTATCATAATAAAAAAGTGGCGGCTTACAAATTAGTTATTAGAGCATGCACTGCATTGTTTACTGTCCCTTGATTCTCAGTGGAAAGGTAAGCACTGAACTGTTAACATTCAGCACTGCTGAATGAGGGCTCGTTCACATATGCAAGCTCTACTTTAATCTGCCACACAGGTAAGAAGGACATACTGTATACTTAATGGAAAATATTAGCATTAGCCACTGCTGATACTGATTATGACATTCAGCAATTTTTATACCGGCTGCTGTTCTTGTCATAGCAGCCACACAGAATTACACAGAAAGCTTCAAGATGTGAGCCATCTTCAACAAATGCATGCCTTAACAATTAAGGACTGTGTTCAAAAGTATATAAGCCACCGGTATTAGAAGATGCCTTTTTGTTTTTTAAGCATTCCACATATGCTTGCATTAAAACAAAGACAAATTCCTATGTATCTGAACCAGCTACTTATCAGAGCACATTATATACCACATCATCGCTGAATCGACTGTATTGTGGTTCCCCCCTCCTTATTCGTCACTACCACAAACTCATTGACTACAAGCAGTTCAAAGTAAAGGCAATTTTTTCTGGATCAGATTATTGAGCAACAACTAATATACAGTGCAGGTTGGTTGTATCTGAACATAAAAGCTTTGGTTGATTTGATATCCACAGAGTGTTTTTGAACAATCAACTGATGATCTATGAAGGCTAATGATATCATCCATATATGTTTAGGAGTCTTAAAAAATGCAGCAGTTCCATTTAAAATGGAAAGCATTTTTTTTTAAAAAAAACGCCTCAAGTATTGACTTTTTACAAAAAATGCTCATTTAAAAAATGCTGAACGCCTACATTTTTAAAAAGGGCTTTCCACATTTACCACAAAGTACTGTACTAAATGCAGTGCAATTTAACTTGGACTAAGATTCTGCTAGAGAAATCTGACTGAAGAAAAGACCCAAACCTTATAATTCATGCTCAAGAAATGTAAGAATCCTGACACAGGACCACTGAAATTAAACTTGTAACACAGAATAAAATCATTCCACTGTATAAGAAAATATAGTTTATACTGTGAAGTGGCCTTACTTTAAAAGGTTTGTGATCCGTTTAGCCAATTTTATGCAAAAATTAGAATAATCAAAATACTTTATTTTAAAAAATAGCAAGTACAGGTGCTTGTCCAGAATCACATGTATATAAGTCAGCTGGAATGTGGCTTGTACCAAGAGCTGTCCCTTGGACCTCTGATAGTAGAAATCAGGTAAGCAAATAAATCAGATCACCTTTTATAAAAAATAGTAGTCGTCTTTCAAAGAGAATACTGCTTAACTGTTGAAATGAAGGAAAAGTCAGCATTCTGCAGGTTCAAGATACTAGTTTTTAATAGCAGCTGAATTATTTCTTGGCAGCAGCCACAGAACATTTTTCTTGAATGAAGAATTCCAAAAATGGTCCTTTCCCTCATATCGTCCTCTAGTAGAAAAGGGGAGGGGTTTTTTTTCCTATATTTCAAGCATTTATGGTATCATGGCTGAGGAAAGGATTTTCTGCTTGGAGTATAAATATAGTTCCACGCAGGTCTGCAAACAATCATTCCACGGCAAACCCACATGTTTCTTCAATGGCGGTTAGCAGCTTTTCATAGAGCTTCTCATAGCTTTCGTAAGGAGGAATGTCTATCCGATTGAAGCTGTAAGCAAACAACAAAGAAGAAGCCTTTCAGCTTATAATGTTCATAGTTCAAATAGGCAATGCAACTAATACTGATCGATAATGGTGCGTTACCTATTTTTAATGGTGTGTTATTGTTATAAGAACATAGTTCCTACGGGATAGAAACTAGATCCAACTAGCAGAAGACATATATTGGAGCAACGTAGATAAAACTGGTTGCTTATCTATAACTGGATTTTCTTGATCATCTCTGAATCCCCGCAAATAGGTTGTGCATTTTGCAAACCTCATTTATAAACTTTTAGAGTCTAGTGCAGTGGTGGCAAACCTATGGCACGGGTGCCAGAGGCGGCACTCGGAGCCCTCTCTGTGGGCACACGTGCCGTTGCCCCAGCCTTGCCTCCCCCCGTGACCCCCTCTCCAGCAGCCCCCCTGAAAGAGAGTCGCCCCCGAGCATGGCCCACACGGAGCAGGGCAGCCAAGGACATGGCAGCCAGGCAGCGTAGACAAGACTCTGCCCTCACACCCCATCATGCAGTTAATGCTGCAGGGCGCGGGCAGAGGGTGTAGCCGCCATAGTGCTGCTGGGCTGCTTGGGCAATCTGCGGCAGGCCCTGTAGGCGGTGAGTGGTCCTGTGGGCAGGCAGGGCGGGAGATGGGCAGAGCAGGGGCGGGACAAGGGGTGGAGCAGGGTGGGGCCAGTTTTTGGGCACTCGGTCTCTAAAAGGTTCACCATCACTGGTCTAATGACAGTGTGGTCAAGTTGTAACAGAGTTGGATTAGTGGGGAGATGCAGATTCGTGCCCACTCTCAACCACAGAGATTCACTTTGGGCCAGTCACTCACTCTTTGCTCACCGTTCCTCACAGAGGTTTTTGCACAGTAGTAGGGAAACACAGACTTTGTTCTTCACTCAATAGTGAATAGTGAAACCAATGCTAAATAAAAACACGAACAAAATATTGGAGAAAGTTCTAGAGCCATCCGGGAGTATTACATTACTAGCACAGTTCCTGCTGAACTCTTCAGTTCAGAAGAACATTTATCCAAAGTATTAGGTCCTCTGAGACTTAAGGAGAATCTGAAGATAGGACACATAGGGGTATCATTTGAAACACTGCAATTAAATGAAACCACTTCTTCATTATGGGCTCTGTGATTCACACAGACAGATGAGTAGCAAGCCAGCAACTTATCCAGAGAGGGGGTTGCCTGGTCATCATAAAGTGGCCAGAGAGAGTTCTTGCAAGGACAACACTTCTCTGGGAGAAACAGATCTAGTCTTTGCTGAGCCCATGTAGCTGCCTGGCCACAGCTTCAGTAAGTGAATTCTTTGAAGGAAAGCTCTTGGCTGTTATTACCCTTAAAAAATTACCCTTAAATTAAAAGGGCCATTGCTGCTTAGCCAGCTTGTAAACCAATGGTTGCTACTATACATTTAGAGAAATGCTGGTGGGAGAGCATCAGCCCTTAAATCTTGGAAGGCCAAAAATAAATGCTGGTCCTGGCAGAATAAGAGAAGACAAATATAGAAGATATATCAAAAGGAAGATAGAGTTGATCAATTGTTTTATCTGGCTATTAATCTGCCCATAACAACATTTAAATTTTAACTGCATCATCTGATTTCTGGATAAGGCAGTGGTGGCGGCAGCAACAAAGCCTGACTGTGGGCAAAGAATATTGGAAAACTGATTTAACCTCTCCTGTATAGCACAGAATTAGACAGTAATAATTAAAATAAGAGCAGTTCCCTCTCCTTTCCCTCTATAAAAGATTCTTGATCTGGTAAGAATTTGAGAGTACAATAGTTGGCTTCGCCCTGAAGTCTCTTGCTTTCTTCAATAAGCTTGGAATCATAAGGATGAGAACTGGGGGAAAAAAATTGCATGTTGTAGATGTGGTCCTTGCTTATCAGCCACAACCGGGACCATCAGCTCAGTTGCTAAGTTACATTAAACATTGCTACATGAAAAATCATATGAACGTGCTGGAGTTAAAATCTCATTTCTGCTTCAGTTGTTAAGCAAATCATCTTAGCCCTTAAAATGAGACCTCACATGATAATAACTTATAATTTCATGTCTGCACTCTCTGTCAATTCTGCTTACTGGAAACTGGTTGTGAAACTCGCAAATGGCAATCCTGTGACTGCAAGACACTGTAACAGCCGTAAATACAAGAATTGGTCACAAAACTGTTTCTTTTTCCAACTCTCGTAATGGTTGTTAAACAAGGTATTAGGTAAACAAGGACTACATGTACCAGATTCTCTAAATGCCAGTTTTGTAAACATGTCAATCTTCTGTGTGATCTTCTCTAGTGCAAAAAAAAAAATCAAAATAAGAGTGAGGAGTTTGTTTCTATACTGTCTTGTGAAATATGGCCCAAATGGTAAGGATTATGAAAGGAGGATAGGAGTGGATTGATAAACACCTTTCCAAGGATTGATTTATTATTTTGAGGAAGAGCAGAGGAAAGTTAAAAGAAAGAAAATTAAAGAATTTAAATACAATGATGTTAAAGGATGAAGATGAAGGATGACTGACTCTATGGTCATCACAAACAATGTGAATACCATAGGCATGGGTGCTGCGTTTAACTCTGTGGCATACATAGTGGGCAAGGTTCCCACCAGAGAAGGGTCCCAACAGAGTTGGGTAGAAATGAATAATCTTTATATATAAATCATAGAGCTCATGATGAGGAAGCAACATTACACCATCCCAAGATCGAAATAAAATACAGAAAACAGAACAGTCATCTGGAACTCTATCATTCTGAGATAAGCCACCAAGTAAATGATAGAGTTTATTTCCAATAGGTACACTTGGACTGAGTATCAGAGTTCCACACATACACCTACTCTTTGGATTTCACTCACATGGTATCAGCAATTCTGAATGTAAACACAGATAGATGCAGATTATTGGCAAAATTGCTTGCCTATTTTGTCCTCCAAGATGAAACATTGGAATGACATTAAAGAAATTCTCTTCCAATAAGTAATCAATTGACATCAGTACACCAAGGTTTGTAAAATGTGATTTGGCAATTTACTGAGGCAAATTCCGTGATCTTTATAGTTTTACTTTCAGCTCACACATTAATGTTCTCACAAAGGAACCACTTATTGTGATTCAAGTGACTTAAAATGAGTAAACTATGTTAGTTATCTAAATGAGTGGTAAATATTTGGGTTCCCTTATGCATGTAGACAGGGTTTGTTGACACATTTCAAGGTTTGAATCTTGATCACCATGTGCAGTTGAGTTTACGTAAACCTAGAGCATCGGACAATTGTATTTTACAAACCGAAGGAGGGATTTTATATTAGCTTACCTAAAGCTAATCAATTTTTAAAAATATTTTAAAAATAACGTACTGCTTTATGAAGCTATACACATGGCTGAAAAATTACTACAACAATGTGACACACAGATTGCATTAATATTTAGGAAACTCTTGGCACAAAAAACAACTAGTAGTAACGGGAAAATATTAACATGTTAAAGTTTTAATTTCAAGTGAAAACCCACTTTGATGGAACCAACACAAACACTGGGTCTTGTAAGGTTGCCCCTCTTGGTATTGTTGAATTACAATTCCACAAAGTCCAAGGGACCATGACCACTGTTGAGAGATGCTGGAACTGAAGTTTGACATCATTTGGAAAATTAATGTACCACCACATAATTGGTCTATCTCAACTGACTGTGGAGTCCATCTGTGTCTTTAAGAGCTTTGAGATTTTTATCAGATTGTTAGTTGAGCGGGAAAACTGAAAAAGTAAGTCAGCACACATGCAACTTATAAACATGGATAATCTTTCATTTTATACCACAACATTTCCAGCATAACCAATGCTGAATTCTTTTTATTAATGGTTTCTGTAACGTGACCTTTTATTGAACTAGATTAATCATGTTTTTGAACTTGAAGCATTAACAACCAATTAATCTCTAATATAACTTCATAACTTCAATATAGAAAAAGGCTAACAGAGAACAACTCCTGACTTACCAGGTATGAGCTTTTGGCAGATTATTTGTGCTGGCATCAATCTGGTGAATGGTAAACAGTCTTGGGCCAGCAGCACCTGGAATTGCATCAAAGACAATGCTGTTCAATACAGGCAGTCCTCAACCTATGGCCACAACTGACCCCCACATTTCCATTGCTAAGCAAGGCAGGGATTAAGTGAGTTTTGCCCCATTTTATGACCTTTTCTGCCACAGGTGTTAAGCAAATCACTGTAGATGTTAAGTGAATATCACAGTCGTTAAGTGAATCCAGCTTCATCGACTTTGCTTGTCAGAAGTCAGATGGGAAGGTTACAAACGGGGATCACATGACCCTGGGATAGTGCAACTGTCATAATTATTATCCAGTCGCCAAGCACCCGAATTTTGATCACATGACCATGGGGATGCTGCAACGGTCATGTGAAAAATGGTCATAAGTCACTTTTTTCAGTACCTTTGTGACTTTGAATGGTCACTAAATAAAAGGTTGTAAGTCGAGGACTACCTGTATTACACGGCATTAATCAAAGAACATACTACAGGTCAATGAAGCAAACACTATGATACTGCACAAGGAAGGATGTGCACGTGAGCAAGCACATGTCAATACAAGGTACACGTGTGCATAGTATATCTTACTGAGGAAGTTCTTTCTTCCCCAAATATACTCCATTAAGGTTGATCTAAGACTTTATGCTGGACACTGGACAACTATTAATTATGCAAATCAAAGTTATATTTCAATTAATGTGTAAAACAACTCTAGAAGCATACACTGTTTCTAAAGATATGTCCTTCATGAACTAGTAACTAGCATACTTATAAAATTCAAGTTACATGCTATGGGCCACAGCATGCAAGATGTGGATCTCACTGTGCCCATGAAAATAAAGTAAAACCAAGAAAATCTGAGATATGAGTTTGATACTCTGCAAAATAAATGGGAATTATTACCAAGACAACTATGGTTAAATTAAATGCATCAAATAATGCCAATATTTGGATGAATGGACGAAGCAAATTGATAAAATGAAATTAAATTGAACTGCATGCAGGTTTACCCACTGAAAATAGGGCGTGAGTAGCCACGGCCCCTTCAAATACGATTAAAGCTGCCACACATTTCAGCTCAGGTACTTAATCAAAAATCTGTTTTGCGGTACATATTATGAAACACTACTTTGGAAAGGATAACGTTTGTGGCAGTAAACTGGACTCAAGACAGCCCTAGAGATTATTGTTTTTACCTTGTAATGCTTTGAAACCCTGAAGAGGCACTCTGGATGATCCGGTCACAAACTGTAGCAATCGAGCCCTCCTCTCTTCATCAAAGAGCTCCACAGCTTTCCAGAACCACTTGACAATGTTGCTATCGGGGGTGCAATGTTTTAACCTTGTGTTGGCCTTCCAGTCGTTCACGTCTATTTTCCCAAGGCCACAAATGATGAGCTATTCAAAACGGCACATGCGAAAGATCAATGGCATTAACTACATGCAACTATGACTTAAAATCAGAGACTACTAAACCTCAGGGACAGAGGAAGAAGATACTGTTTAACTTTCAATGATAATTGCCCTATGCCCAGTATGAAATGATAGTTTCAGATTTGATGACTGAAGGCATCTTTCCCCCCCAAACAGAAGTGGTCCCAATTTTAACACCTAACCAGAATTGCTTGGCAAGTGGGCATCATAAAAACTGAATGATAAAACAAATAAACAAAAAGCACGTATTTTCTATATCTGACAAGTCTCATAAGTAAGATCAACCGTACAAGGGGTAGAATATCTGGGACGTTATGTAGGAAATGGTGATCAAAATTCTTTTTCTATGAACTGTATGACTTGATTCAGAAGCTGCCAGAAGCTACTGTTTAGCTCAGTAATCTATGATGTTTTTCCAGACTGAAGATCTCGCAAGTTTTTGAGGGACCTGCTGGGGACCATACTGCAAAGTAATTTGGGCAAAAACAAACATTCAATGTGATGTTATTTCGTTTAAATTTAAATAAAATCCAATACATTTTATTCTAGCCAGGGGAGTTTGGGGCTGGCGGGCATTCTTTTTCCAACTGCCCGGTTTCTAGCAAGAGGCAGATCTGGAACTTCTGTTTTTGGAGTGAGGAGAACAGGCAGTCGAACAGAACAGAACAAAACAGAATGAGAATGACAAAGTTCATAAAGGAGAGAACGTTACAGACTTCTCCATCTTTTCATACTAGGTAAATCTGGTTTACAATGATAAGATCTTATAGACAGGACTTCTACAAACATCTCATTGAGCTGCTCACTTTCAGCTCCGATTACTGGCCACATTTACAAAGCGCAGCTTTGTGCCTCTCTTGTGTTTATCTGAGAGTCTACATGGTCTATGCGTCTGCATGATTTTTGCTGAAAATGCATCAGAAAAGAGGAAAATTTCCCACATGCCCTCTCTCACGCACCCCCCCATATAGAAGAAAAACATTGATAATTAACAAACTAACCTCTAGTTCCTTCTCATCAAATGTTTTCAGCAGATGCTGTGGAATTACTTCATTAAAACCCTTCTGCAGAGCCAGGAACTGAGCTTCAATTCCTCTTAAAAACCGCCAGTTTACATATAACCTGTAAAGAAGCACCACAATTGTCACTACAATGTTTTCTTTTCTGTACACAAACTGCAGGTTCTGTTACCTGAAATAACTGCTCTAAGGCACAAGGGTAAGGCAATCAAAATATTGTAAAATAAATTAATACAAAACATTTAGGTGCTAAATGTACCTTATTAATTTATGACAATTCTCTCTGGACAGAACACCATTAACAAGTAAACTTTTAAAATACCTGACATATTCTTTTTTATTCTCTTCTGTGACAGGAATGCTTTTGCCATTGGGCTTAAGTTCATGCTGTATGATTTCACCATATGCATTGTGCTCCACACAAAATGTGTGGTCTAAGACTCCTGTAATATCATTCTCACTGAAAAAAAAGACATAAAAACAATTAAAATGTGAATGTCTAGGCATACTGTACATTTTTAGTCTCAAACAAAACAATACCAAATATTTATTTCCACAGAGCAATCTCTCCAATATCAATCTAAATAGGTGGCGTATTTTCCCCTTCTTTTTCTTCATTAAACTTTTCTCATAAAAGAATTAATGAAATTCTAAAACATTCTGAAATATGAAGAATCTTCCCACTCAAAATTGAGACTTTCCAAAGCTATCAGTCTCCTTGTGCGGCTTTCAAACGATTATGAAACTAAAATGACAATTGCAGAATAGTTGTTTCTCCTAGTTTTAGTTTAAGAGGCGAAGGGAGGATGAATTTCTGGCATGTGGTAGATTACTTCTAGTGTCGATAAACATAATGTGTGGAAACTACTAAATTAATGGAGGGGTACAGTATGTGAGTAAATTCAAGTATATGGGAGAAATTTTGGAACAATAATAAATTTAAGAAAAGATGCCACAGAGCATCTCAAAAGAAATAATAACCTTCAAGAGGCAAGGAGTGGATATCTGAAAGAATTTAAATAATCCTAATTTAGTTTAACAAAGCCACTAAATAAAAATGAGTAGTATATATCCATTCCAGAAACAGTATAATTTTAAAGGGTAAGTACATACAGTATCCATACTAAGCTGTTGTGAAGATCTGGGTCAACTAGTTCCATGTCATCCAATGTAATTGACTTTCCTAGCAGCTGTTTATAAAAAGGCAACGTAAAGCCCCCATCAATATAATGTCCGTGAAACACAGCCATCCCCATGATTCGACCAACAAAGTGGAAGTAGGATAAATGTTCCTGGAATTGAAAGAACATATATAATCAGGATCAAATCAGATTCTTCTAGCACAATTTCTAAGCATATTCTACTGTACAGCAGGTTCTATCAAATATCACAAGATAAGTAAGAGTAATAAAAGCATTTGTTTTACTTCCACCAGTGAACATCTGATTGTGTATAAATTATTTTTATTCAAAAACTCATTTTCTAAGCCAATCTTATGATTAAATAATAGGTGTAGCTATAGCATTTACGCTTGCAGCCCTTTCTAAGCATTTTACAGAGTCAGCCTATGGCCCCCAACAATCTGAGTCCTCATTTTACCAACCTCAGAAGGATGGAAGGCTGAGTCAACCTTGAGCTGCTCAGAATCGAATTGCTGGCAGTCGGCGGAGTTAGCCTGCAATAATTCTGCATTCTAACCACTGCGCCATCACACAATATAATGTCCTTATATTTAGCCTAATGTTTTCTTACAACGTAAACTTTTTAGCAGATTTGTGCCCGTCCATTTTTTTAATCTAATGGCTCACATTTATTTAAACCTGCTGGTCAAATGCAGCATGAGCCTTAAAGTATTTTGTCATACCGGATTAACAGCAGAATCTGGATTTATCTGTAAAGTATAGATGTCATCACGGGAATACTGGAAGAGGCCATAATACGGATTCAGCATTTCATGGGATAGCAAATACAGCCATTCCCTGAAGAAAACACAAACATTGCCAACAAGTGTTTGAAATCTATACAAGATGCTTTGTCAAATTTTGGAAAGAGGTGGGGCAAAAAATGAAAATTTTGGAAGAAATCGTTGGGACAAAGGCTAGGCAGAATTACGGTAGCAAGAAAAGAGAGAAGCAGCTTTAGTTCCTTGTCTAGAATTTTATACAGGTAGTCCTTGACTTACAATCAGAATTGAGCTGAACCTTTCTGTTGTTAAGCAAGGCAGCTGTTACGTGACTTTTGCCCCTTTTACCACTTTTCTTGCCACACTTGTTAAGTGAATCACAGCTATTGTTAAGTAAGTAATGCGGTTGTTAAGTGAATCTGGCTTCGCCAATGACTTTTGCTTGTCAGGACACAAAAGGTGATCGCATCTCACACACACACACACACACACACACACACACACGCCCGGGACACTGCAACCATCATAAATACATGCCAGTTGCCAAGCTTCCAAATTTCGTTCACGTGACCATGAGGATGCTGCAACAGTCATGTGAAAAATGATCATAAAATCACTTTTTTCAGTGCCTTTGTAACTTTGAATGGTCACTAAATAAATGGCTGTAAGTCAAGGACTAGCTGTATTTCCATGGAGAAGTACTCTGTAAAATAAGGAAGTACACCGGGAAGAAAACATTGGTAGAAATTACATAGTGATATTCTAGGATTCAAGCTGTATTTTATTATTTTGTATTTAAGAAAAAGAGACAAGCGTTAAGATTATATTTACTCAGACAAGCCAAAAGAAAAAGAAAAACCAGCTTTTTAGCTAAACTGAACATTTTTTTTTCTATTTAAAATTGTATGTACAAAAAAGAAAAGAAAAGAAAACAAATCATTAATCCAATTAGAACTGTTGGCATTTACTTTTTTTAGATTTAAAATACAGGATATTAATTTAAGGGCACAAAACATACAAGTATGTCTTAGGAATTTAAATTACCATGAAACTTTTTTTTTTACTGCTTCTGCTCACTGGAAATGTAATTCTGATTATGACAGTCTCATGGCATATGGTTCAACTCAGCCTCAGCATGCTAAAATATGCTGAAATAGGCCATCACTTGCTATTACTTTAAAAGTTTACATTTTGAAGTGCTAAATAAACTTGTTTCCCTTGGTAAATATTAGCTTAAGTAACGGAAACCTCCTCTCGCCACCAATGAATAGAATTTCCCAGCCTTTCAGAGATCTACTTTTCTGGCTCTGATTCACTTAATCTCATTGCTGATAGGTTTGTTCATGCCAAAATGAATTGAATTGGAAGACAACTGCCGAACATTACTTAGAAGCACCCTATTCTATTTAACAATATAGATAAAACATTACTAAAGAAAGCTGTGGATTAAATTTGAATGGAAGGAAAGAGGGTTTGCTACTAAGAGGCTCATAAAGCACTGGCTGATGTTTATGTACAGTACAAATATAAAAGATTAAGAACCACCCCATTCCTCATTTCCTTAGTTGTACAAGACAGAACTGTTCAAGAAATTAGAATAGAATAGAGCTGGAAGGGACCTTGGAGGTCTTCTAGTCCAGCCCCCTGCTCAAGCAGAAGAACCTATACCATTTCAGACAAGTGACTGTCTAATCTCTTCTTAAAAACATCCAGTGATGGAG